CTCCTCCTGCTGTGCTGCTCCGGGAGGGGAGAAAGCTTCAGCCAGGCAACTCCTGCTTCATCATATGGTGCTCCGACTCCAGCTCCCGGATGCCTTCCACCCACTTGGCTGCCTGCACCAGGTGGGTGGAGTGGGTGGAAGGCAGCTGGGAGTTGGAGTCCCATGCACTGGGGCAAGAACCGCCTATCTGAAGCTTCCTCCCTGCCCAGAGCAGTGCAGCAGGAGCAAGAGGAGGAGCTGCCACTGAAGACAAAGGGAGCTGAGCAGCCCCTTGAAGCTATGTACATTGGCTAGGGCTGGGACAACAGGCATAGGCTACCCCAGGTGGGGCTTGGCCCCATGCGAAGCACCGCAGAGGCACCCGTGGACTGTACTGCCTGGGTGAACTTGGCTGCATATGCCCCATGCCACCTCCTTCCTCCCCTCACTCCCAGCTGGCTACTGTGACCCAACATCCAGGCAGCACCCCCTCACACATGCACAACACCTCCGTACACCCCTGATTCCACACACATGCCCCCCCCCCCCAACACACTTCTCCAAAGGAATCTCATGAGGTTCAATAAGGAAAAGTGCAAAGTCCTACACTTATGATAGAGCAATTGCCTACACTTGTACAGCATGGGGATTGACTGGCTAGGCAGCAGCCCTACAGAAAGTGACTTGGGGTTTACAGTAGACAATAAGCTGAATAAAAGCCAACAGTGTGCTCTTGCTGCCAAGAAGGCCAAAGGCATACTGAGCTGCATTGGTAGGTATGTTGCCAGCAGATCAAGAGAAATGATTATTCTCCTCTATTCAGCACTGTTGAGGCCACATCTGGAGTGCTGTGTTCAGTTTTGGGCCCCCCACTACAAAAAGGATGTGGACAAATTGGAGAGAGTCCAGCCGAGGGCAATGAAAATGGTGAGGGGGTTGGGGCACATGACTTATGAGGAGAGGCTGAGGAACCTGGGTTTATTTAGTTTGGAGAAGAGAAGACTGAGAGGGCATTTGACAGCAGCCTTCAACTACTTGGCAAATTCCAATCAACAACAATGGGAGAATGTCCTGACATCAGCGCCTGCGAAGAGACACTTGGATTCACTACCGGGAAACATCAAGACTGGTTTGATGAGAATGACTGAGATCTCCAAGAGTTGACTGACCACAAGCCTTTTGCGCTTGGCAGAATATCAACTCCAAGCAAAAGAAACTAAATCGTGAACAAGCTGAGGAAAAAGTCCAAAGGAGGACCTACGTTATGAAGAACAGATGGTGGGAAGACAAAGCAAAGTAGATTTAACATCTTGATGACATCCATGATATGGACAGGTTTTTTTAGTGCCACCAAAGTGATCTATGCTCCAAGTATTCAGGTTCCAACCCCCTCGAGACCTAAGGATGAAGGAGACCTGATCAAAGAAAGGGAAGCCATCAATACCTGCTGGAAGGAGTATTTTGAAGACCTCAATCAAGACTGTTGGTGACGAGAGCATTCTCAATTCTATCCTGAAACACCCAGTTAGAGACTGCCTTGGAATCCCTCCAACCCTTGACCAGGTGAGGAAAGTCATCAAGCAGATGAAGAATGACAGTGCATCTTGAGCAAATGGAATCCCTGACAAAATCATTAAGCAGGGGAAGAAGAGCTTACATCATAGGTCCATGCCCTCATCTTAGGAATCTGGAATGATGAGGAAATCCCAAACAACCTCAGGGATACCATGATCATGACAATCTTCAAGAAAGGAGACTGGTCCAACTGTGGAAATTACAGAGGGATTGCCTTGCGGTCGACCACAGGAAAGATGATTGTCAGAATGCTCCTGAACCGTCTCCTTCCACTTGGTGAAGAGCTCCTCTCAGAATCTGTGTTGGTAAACAATTATGTTTTCATCAAACAGCAGTGCTGCCTAAACATTACAGCATAAAGGTAATGAGTAGGGCTGTGCGAAATGGAAGCGTTTCATTTCAACCAGCATTTCAACAGAACAGTGTTTTGTTTCAACTTCTGTTTCGAGTCGAAATGGCTGTTCCATTTCGTTCTATTGAAACGTTTTGCCGTTTTGACCCTGTTTCGACATTTTGTCCATAGGATATAATGGGGAAGGTCGAAACAGGCTATAACTTTGTCATTTCTGGCCAGATCTGAATGAAACTTCGAGGAATGGTAGCCCCTTCAGAGGGCATCATGCGTGCCAAGGTTCAAGAAGATAGGTGGAGGAGGTTCAGAGAAACTGTACCCCAAAATCTTGAGAGCAAAACTCAGTCACATGTATGTGTTAAGCCACAGCGGGGTCAAAACTGTAGGGATGCTAGCCCCTGCTGAGGCCACAAAGCCTGCTAAGTTTCAAGAAGGTAGGTGCTGGGGGGTCGGAGAAACTGCACCCCAAAATCCTGAAAGAAAAACTTGTGTCACGTGTATGTGTTAAGACACAGTGGGGTCAAAACTGCAGGCTTACTAGCCCCTGCTAAAAGCATGAAGCCTGCCAAGTTTCAAGAAGATTGGTGCAGGGGTTTGGGGGAACTGCACCCCAAATTCTTGAAAGCAAAGCTCATGTCACGTGCATGTGTTAAGCCACAGTGGGGTCAAAACCACAGGGGTGGTAGCCCCTGGTGAGGCCACATAGCCTGCCAAATTTCAAGGTGATAGGTGCAGGGATTTGGGGAGAACTGCACCTCAAGCTGATGACAGGCAAAACTCATGACACAGATGACCCTGTGTGTGTTAAGGCGCAGCAGGCTGAAAACTGCAGGGGTGGTGGCCCCTGCTCAGGCCACAAAGCCTACCAAGTTTCAAGGAGATAAGTGCAGGGGTTTGAGGAAAACCGCACCTCAAAATGCGGACAAGCAAAACTCATGACATGGGTGCTTGTGCAACTGTGTCTGTCTTGGGGCACTGGAGGCGGGGGGCGAGCACAGATTAACACCTACAAAACTAGACAGACAGACTAAGGAGAGGAAATAATCAATACAGACAATCAACTTCCCCAAGACAGACACAGTCAGTTGCACAAGCACCCATATCATGAGTTTTGCCTGTCAGCAGCTAGGGGTGCAGGGCCCCAGAACCCCCCTGCACCAATCTCCTTGACAGCTGGCAGGCTTTGTGGCCGCAGCAGGGGCTACCATCCCTGCAGCTTTCACCCTGCTGCGCCTTAACACACAGTCACCCATGTCGTGAGTTTTGCTTGTCCGCAACTTGAGGTGCAGTTCCCCCAAAACCCTGCACCTATCTCCTTGAAACTTAGCAGGCTTTGTGGCCTCAGCAGGGGCTAGCACACCTGCAGATTTTACCCTGCTGTGGCTTAACACATACACGTGACATGAGTTTTGCTTTCAGAATTTTGGGGTGCACTTTCTCTGAAACCTCCGCACCTATCTCCTTGAAATGTGGCAGGCTCTATGGCCTCAGTAGGGGCTACCATTCCTGTAGTTTTGACCCTGCTGTGGCTTAACACATACACATGACACAAGTCTGGCTCTCAAGATTTTGGGGTGCAGTTTCTCTGAACCTTCTAAACCTATCTTCTTGAAACTTGGCACACTTTATGCCCTCAGAAGGAGCTATAATTTCTTCACATTTTATCCAAATCTGTCCAGAAATGACAAAGTTATAGGCTGTTTTGACCTTATAGCCTATGGGCAAAACATTGAAACAGCGTCGAAATGGCTAAACGTTTCGACTTGCCTTGTTTAGTTTCAAGGCTGTTTCAACCATATCTGTTTCATTTCGATTTTGCTGTTTTGACCTCGAAACAGGTCAAAACAGCGTTGAAACAAAATTGGTGGAAAAAATCTCACACAGCCCTCGTAATGAGAGATGTCAGCTATACAATTTATGCCATGTTTTATATTTGTTTATGCAGCAAGTTAGTTAATTTTTAATGCTGGCTTCAATGTACAAAAGCAACAAGAAACTCTTATATTCTGATTAATGATGGTCAGCTTAGTCTACCAATAAAATGACCGCCATCATATGAGGGTCAGTTAAAAACCAAAAGGAATGCATGGTAAAGTATGTTTAGGATAGGCCCATGGGTATTGGTAATTGTGTCACACTTCTATGTAGTCCCACTGTTAATCTATGAACATAAGCCAAAATTACAATAAGGTATATTCCATTTAGAAAGAAGATATGGGCTACTCCTATAGCTAAGTTTGCATATCAAACATATGCAAACCTTTGCACATCACTGGACTTTGGTCTCCTCAAGGAAGACTTGGAAAGAGGTTTGAAAAGGTAAAAGGTACTTAAAGCAAGATTTAAAGGATCTAAAGGGATGAGGAAGGACCTCAGATGCAAGGTTCTTTATATTCTCCATTGTTAATCAAGATGTATGTGAGCATTGCCTTAGAGGTATAGTACTTTCTTCAACAGCATTCCTCAACACTGCTTCAAAAGGCTGAATAAGGGTTCTTGTTTGCATGCAGCAGTAGTAGTCTAAATTCACAGTGAACACCTTGGTTAGAAGTCTTTTACAAGGACACCATAAATGTCCCAAAAACATCAAAAGGATTTTATATCATTCATCCCTTCTGCAACCAAAAACGGATTACAGAATGCAATTGTTCCCTGGTGTAATTAAGACTTGTAACTGCCACTGTTATAACTGTGCTGAGACATGTCACTCAACAATCACTGTCTTCATGGACCTGACATTCAAACAGGCAGTACTACATATGGATTATATTGCTAGTTATATTTCCTGAATTATAGGGGAAGATGTCCTATAATTTTTTTCTAACTCTCTATCTCTTCATGCTCTTGGCAGAACTGCTGCTCACAGCATTATCAAGTAGATAAATTCTCTCTGATTAGACAGTGGAGAGAGTGGTAGGTGTGTTCTGTGTTATCTGAACAAAGTTTAGAACATTAACATTCAGCTACAAAATAAAGCACCAGACTATAGCCAAGCTGTATTCCTGGACATGCAAACTTCGAATATTCTCCCAGAAAGCCTTCTTTTCTTCCCCTCCTCTGCCATATGTTATTTATTTATCAATGATTTACTTACTTTGAGGGTAACTGCTGTGGCCTTAATAATAAAGTCATTTACTGATACTTTAATGTCATCTGCAAAAAGAAAAACATAGAAAAGACAGATATTATGAATGATGGTTATCAGTATAGCTACATAAATTAACCATGCACTATGTACAGAGAATATTCTTGCATTTCAGTCAATCCATCTTTGCCTAATAGCCTCAGGATGTTTGTAAATTCATATTACTGCATAATATTAAGTAACTAAGGATTATTCATTTTCACAGTCTACATGTAAAACATACAATGCATAAACTCTAGACATAAAGCATAGGGCTTTTATTCTCAAAAAACAAACAAACAACTCAATTCGGGGAAAAACACACATTAGCCCCAAAAAGAACAAAGGTGAAAAATGGTAACTGTGACTAAACAGACAAATACAGCATGGAACCTGATTTCTGCTTTATTCAGTGTACAATCGATATACCACAAGAACAACTATTCTTGCAGGACTTTGATCATGAGGGCAGAACTCTCACGTGAACACACGAAGCTGTAAAGTTAGAGATTCATGAGTGGGATTTTCAAGGGAATTTTAAAGATTCTGAAGTCAGCGAGATTTGCATATGCTTAGGCTCACAGCCATGGACTCTAAACTAAAATCCTAAACCCTGGTGCCTGAAGCCAAACCACAATTTCATCAAACTGACTGATCACATTAACGCATTTGGACCCATTAGCTGTTATGACACGGTGTTGTTGACATGAAGGTTTCAGCATCTTCAACAATGGGTGGATGTTTTTGGGACTGCTATCGAGGGATGGGATCCATTTGATGAGAATGGGGAAGAGCATCTTTGGGCGTTGACTGCCCAACCTAATAAGGAGGGCTTTAAACCAGGTTCCATGGGGAATAGTGATCAAAACCTTCCACCAACAGAGCACATAATCCAGAGGGGAAAGGACTTAAAGAAGCAATTCAACTCTAGGAGAGGACCAGCGAGTGACAGGACAGCACGAAGTGGCACAAAAGCGAAGCAAGGAAGTCAAAATGCAAAATACGTCTGATGCATGTATACAAATGCGTGAAGTATGTGGAATAAACAAAATGAGCTGGAAGCTGCAGCCTATGAAAAGAACTATGATGACTGGCATCACCGAGAGCTGGTGGGACAGCTCTTATGACTGGAACACATCAACATTGAGGGTTACGCTCCCTTTCAGAAAGACAGGGTTGGGACAAAGGGTGGTGGTATTGCCTTGTATGTCAAAAACAAATGCTTGTTCCCCGATTCAGGAGGAGGATGCTTTTGGGTGAAGATGAAAGGTGAAAGATTCAGCACAGATATTGTAGTGGGGATTTATTATAGACCACCTAATCAGGAAGGGGTGGTGGATGAGGCACTCTTCAAGCACGAGACAAGCCTAGCCAAAAACTATATGATGGTACTAATGGGAGATTTCAATTTTCTGGACATCTGCTGGAATAAAAAAGCAGCCAAACATAAAATGTCAAGCTGGTTCCTAACTTGTGTGGAAGACAACTTTCTGTTCCAGAAAGTGAAAGATACAACTAGGGGATCATCTATCTTGGACCTTGTCCTGACCAACAGGGAAGAACTGGTGGAGCATGTAAAGGTGGTGGGTAGCTTGGGAAGAAGCAATCATAGTATGACAGCATTCCAGATCCTGACACAGGAAAACCATGAGGTCACCAAAATGAGGATACTAGATTTCAAAAAGGCAGATTTCATCTGACTCAAGGAGTTAATATGCATTGTGTCTTGAGAGGATAGACTGAAGCATAATGGTACCCAGGAGGGCTGGGAGCTTCTAAGGGCAAAGGAAACACAAAAAGAATGGCAAGAGACCAATCTGGCTGCACAAGGAGCTTCTAAAAAGCCTCTAGTGCAAAAGAAAAAACCTACAGGCAATGAAAGAATGTGCAGGTCACCAAGGAAATGTACCAGGAAATAGCAAGAACCTGAAGGGACAAAACAATGAAGGCAGAGATAAAGAATGAGATGAACCTGGCAAAGGAGGTTACGGACAACAAAAAGAGGTTCTCTATAAGTATACTGGCCAGAAAAGAAGGACGGAGGAAAGTGGGTCCTTAGTTAACAAGGCAGGGGAAACTCCAAACCTGAGATGCAAAAAGGCAGAGCTACTCAACATCTACTTTGCCTGTCTTCACAAAAAAAAAAGATGCAGCCAGACACCTAATAAGGATTATCTGGATAAGGAAGAGGGCAGATATAAATAGATGGTCAGAGTGGATCTGAATGAATTCAGATCAGCAAGGCCAGATGACCTTCATCCCAGGATCCTGAAACAACTGGCAGAGGAGATCTCAGAGTCCTTGGCAATGATATTCATGAAGTTGTAAGAGACAGGCCAGGTACCACCAGACTGGAAAAGGGCCAATATAGTGCCCCTCTTTAAAAAAAGGCAAGGAGTACCCAAAGAACTACAGACCAGTTAGGATTACCTCAATACCTGGGAAGTTACTGGAGTATATCCTAAGGACAGCCATTTGCAAGAATCTGGAGGAGGAAAGGCTAATCACAAGCAGCCAGCATGGATTTATGAAAAACAAATTGCATCAAATGAACCTGATCTCCTTCTTTGGCAAAGTAACTACTTTGGGTGGATGAAGAGAACACTGTGGATGTAGTGCATCTGGACTTTACTAAGGCTTTTGACAAGGTCCTGCATGACCTTCTCATAAACAAATTGGAGAAATGTGAGCTAGCTAAAACTACAAAATGGATAGATAACTGGCTCAACAGCTGCAAGCAAGGGGCAATTATTAGGGCTGTCAATTAATCACCATTAATATGCATGATTAACACAAGAAACAATTAGCGCATTAAATTTTTTAATGCATTAATCGCATACATGGTTTTGTATGCACTATCTGCCCTCATCTGCAGCACTGTGTGCAGTTGTGGGCTCTGCATTTTTAAAAGGATCTGGAGAAGTTAAAAAGGGTTCAGAGGTAGGCAACAAAGATGATAAAGGACTTGGAAGGCAAGTCATATGAGGAGAGGCTGAAGGAGCCAGGCATGTTCAGTTTGCAGAAAAGATGCTTAAGAGGGAACATGATAGCAGTCTTCAAATATCTGAAGGGCTGCCAAAAAGAAGGGGAAAAGCATCTTTTCTCTCTTGCTGCAGGGAGGAAGATGTGGCTGGAAGTTGCAGCAAACTAAGTTTAAATTGGATATCCAGAAAAAACTTTATGGTTAAAACAGCAAGGCAATGGAATAAACTGCAGAGGCAAGTTGTGGATGCACCATCACTGGAGGTGTTCAAGAAGAGGTTAGACAGCCAGTGGTCAGGGTTGATGTAGGTGTAGCTATGAATATGTTCTACTATGCGAATTTCCCATGCTTCTGGGGTTTCTTGGCCACTCCTGCCCTCCCCACCCTTTTTCTTTTAGGCATGTCAAGGTGTTTTTAAGCCTCCCCTCAGGGAGGAATTTTATGCCATGGTCAGATTAGTATGAACTGTGTGTGTGGGGTCTGGGGGTTGCCTTCCTCTGTTGTGAACATTACCTGGGACCTCTTGAGCATATCCTGACAATATTTCATAATAGCAGGACATTGGCTACTGTGGTTCTCCTGCTTTGCCCGTGGCAGGTTAGGGCATTAGGTCTATGTTGTGTCAGGGTTGACTGTAGTCTTATGAAGAGTTTAGATTATGGCTTGTACTGGATAGTTTGGATAGGATGTTGCTGCCTCAGGCTGGGGGTTAGACTAGATCAGTGATTCCCAAGCTTTTTTTTACCATGGCCCAGAAGGAGCAGGGTAGGGCACACAGAGACAGCTGCCTCCCTCCCGGGACTCCCCCACTGTGCAGCTTTAAACTCAGATGCTCAGCTGTGACCCTGGAAGCCACTTGCCCGAGTGGGCAGATGGGGCTTCATGTGGAGGGCTCGTGCCATGACCCACGTGGCCTGGGGGTTGGGAACCTCTGGATTAGATGACCCCTGGAGGTCCCTTCCAGCCCTGCTTCTCTATGAATCTATAATTCTATGACTGGACGTTAAAGGAAGAAAAAATGGCAAGGTATAGTATATAGGCTGGGTTAAGTTAATGAACAATTTGTGTTTTTGACAGGTAAGGCATCAGCAAAAGAGCTCCCCAAACCTATCACTTTTGTATAGTAAATCCATTATTTAGCTGTTCCTGGGCTGTGAAGAAGATTGAATTACTGCATGATAAGAATATATTTCTTGCTCAAGCACACATATGGTATATAGGAGGTGGTTATGTGATACCCTCAGATGGCAATAAGGAATAGAAAAGTAACTGAATTAAGAGAACATGTGATACTATCCCTCTGGCTGGCACAGTAAGAAAGGCTGCGTTCTTTGCTTTTGACATCATAATCAAAGCACATAACATTGTTCATACTGACTTGTTATAACGGGATGATGATTTATGGGCATAATAGTGACTGCTGGACAAATGCATTGAAGGGGAAAAGAGACTATGTTTAAATGAGGAAAAAGCATCAATCAATCAGAACTTTCAGGCCTTACATAATGTTGATATAATGTCAAAATATTAGGAAGATTTACAAATACAGCCCCTTCTCCCCCCTCCCAAAAAAATAGGTATTTTGTTGTACTTAAGTATGGTTAAAATGTTGTTGTGGCCATGATAATCCAGGCAAGGGCTTTTTTGTGGTATCTTTTAATGAACCAGGTATTTTAATATATTTACTTAACATTTATAGATCATTTTAACCTTAAAAATACCAAAGTACTCTGGAGCCTATCACATGTACTGTGTACTTCATACATTATCTCCAGGATGCAACCCAGGATGTGTTTAGCAAGGTGTAG